GCCCTGAGGAGCAGCTGTGGTGAGGTGCTTTGGGAAATTAGAACATTCAAAAGCGACTGCACATCTGTGGGAATCTGGAGAGTCCTGCACACCAAGGGAAGATGCATGCACAGAGATGTGGGAAGATTGAAGCCTGGAGCTAATGCACAGACTCAGAGCCAGTCTAGCTCATTGACTGAAGAACCTGCACTGGAACAGAGCCTTCTGAAAAGATGAGGAGAGACAGTTATTTTCTCTTGTTCTGTTTTTGCATCTTATGGATTTGTTTGTCTATTTCAGCTCTTGGCATTCGAGGAAATCTCCGTCAACACATCAAATGAACATTCAGAGAATGCAGTGATCACGCACAATTTTCCAAGGAAGTTTTATGGAAAAGAATCAAACAAAAGATCTTCAGTATGATCTTCAATACCTCCCCACCCCAAGCATAAGGCAAAACACAGGCAAAGGCTGAAATCTAATTCCTAAGCTGCTACATTAAGAACACTATGTGCAGGGCCTCCCCGGTGGCACAAGGGGTTAAGACGTGCAACCTATGAAGCAATCTGCAGCTTGTGCAGCACGAGTTCGATCCCCGGCCAGCCAGGGAGCTACACACATAGTGCTACAGACATCTCTTGACTCGCCCGCAGCTCCCCTCTGTAGTGTACTTTGGTCAACCTGCCTGTTCTGTTACTCGCTCTGTCCCTGGTGAATCCTCTCACCACCCACACCTCGGGCTTGTATCCCAGCTCTTGTATGCATAAATAAATAAATCTTAAAAAATAAGAGAACACTATGTGCATAATTTTGACAAAAAAATATCCACAAGGTACACATATCAAAAAGCAAGAAGCAACAAGTGTTGGTGGGGAAATGGAGTCAAAAGAACACTTTTCCATTGTTGGTGTTGGTAGTCTGGTGCCACTCCTATGGAAAACAGTATGGCTTTTTCTCAAAAGACTAAAAGTGGATCTGCCAAATGACCCAGCAATCCTACTCCTAAGTTTCTACTGCCGAAATATAAAAACACTAATTTGAAAGGAAACTTGCTCTCCCAAGTTTGTTGCTCCACTATTTACAATAGCCAAGATGTGGGGAAAACTTAAGTACCCAATCAGATAAATGGATCAAGAAGATGTGATGCGTATACACAATGGAATACTACTCAGCAATGAAAAAAAACTCATGCCATTTACAGCAACATGGATGGAACTAAAAGGCATTATGCGGAGTGAAATAAGTCACTAGGAAAAAGACAATACCAGATAGTGTCCCTTGTACGTGGATTACAGAGAAACCAAATAAATGTTCATGTAACATCAAACTTTTAAACTAATCCTTGACCCCTGGTCACAGAACTGAGTTCCCCAAGGGGAAAAAGAATAGGGAGGGGTGAGAAAGACACAGAAGAAAGCACAATGGCTATGGGGGCAGACTGCGGGTGCTTTTGCAGTGGGTGCGCTTGGTGACTGCACATAGGGCACAGAGACCTTACAAAATACTAACACTGGTGGAAGCCCATCTTACTCAATTACATTTTAAAAGATTAATTTTTTATTGACTCCTTGAACAAAAATAACATATGGGATAGGGGAGAAAGGATTTTGAGTGGGAATTGCAGAAGGGACCTACACCCAGAAGTAACATAAATCCCAAATAAATAAACAGTACACCTCAAGCAACTTGAGAAATAAAACAAAGAATAACTAAAATAAATAAAAGAAGGGAAATTATTTAAATTGGAGCAGCAATAAATGAAACACAAGTCAAAAAGCCAAACAAAGATCCATGAAATAAGAGTTACTTCTTCAATAAAAAACATTGATAAATCTTTAGCTAGGCTAACAATGGAAGTAAAAGAAAATTTATGAATAGAATTTGAAAAAAAATGGAAATTACTACAGCTAGCAGAGAAATACAAAGGTCATGAGAGCACTATGACTGACTATGCTAGCAAATTCAATAATCTTTTTTTTTTCTTTTTTAATATTTATTTATTTATGCTTACAAGAACTGGGGTACAGGCCGGAGGCACAGGAGGGTGAGAGGATTCACCAGAGACAGAGCGGGGAGTAGAACAAGAAGACTAACAAAATACACCAATGAGAGGAGCAGCGGGTGAGACAGGAGGGTAGCTCTGAGGTCGGCGGGGATCATACAGGTACTGCAGAGGCTGCGGATAGCTTCACAGCGCAGGGCTCAACTGCCTGCGCCACCAGAGAGGCCCTGTATAGGTCTTTCACCTCTTTTATAAGGTTCATTCCCAAGTATTTGATTTTTTGTTTCAATTATATAAGGGATGGTTTTCTTGATTTCTTGTTCTGCAGACTGATTGTGTATAGGAAGGCTACTGATTTTTGTGTGTTGATTTTGAATCCTGCTACTTTACTGAACTGGTTGATTATTTTGATTAGTTTTTCTGTGGAGTTTTTAGGGTTCTCGGTATATATTATTGTATTGTCTGCAAAAAGTGATAGTTTTACTTCTTCTTTCCCCAACTGCATTCCTTGTATGTTTAGACATAGGTATTGACACTGATTTGGACTGTGAGGCACTTCAAAAATTAAGCCAATAGGTTAAAATACAGCAAAAAAAAAAAAAAAAAAACTCAATGTGGCTGATGATGTAAACATTTATGATATCACATGTGACATTTGTCATTTGAAGTACTTTGAAATGTTGCTTAAAACAAAGTTTCCCTAGTCAAACTGTTTGAATATATTTCCTGATGGAGAGTGAGACAATGTTCCCATGTAAAAAGGCAAGGGGACAGTCAAAATGTACTGTTCTTCAGAATGTTCTTGTTTTAGGACTGTTTTGGGTCAGTCAACAGCATTCTTCCCATAAGCAAAACTGTGTCAGGAACTCAAGACACAGGAAGGAATTCCATTCTACCATGAAATTCTGAAAACATGTTAGTAAGATTTAGGTGCAGATGACACTGTGAAGGGAGGAGAGGATGTGGTTCAGGAAGAAGTGTGCAGCACCTGCCTGCAAGGTGGTCAGAAGTGACATGTGGGTTGAAGGAAAGCAAGGTCAGAGAGCTGGTAGGCGCACCTGGTGATTCTGCAAGAACAAGAGTAAATGCCCCAGGTGGCAACAGGATGTGGCAGAAAGAAGGACACCCAAATATCCCAAAATAGATGACAGGATCAAGAAGATGTGGTGCATATACACAATGGAATATGACTCAGCAATCAAAAAAGATAGACTCATGCAATTTGCAGCAACATGGATGGAGCTGGAAGGGGTCACGCTTGGGCAAATTAAGCCAGAATGAAAAAGAAAAATACCAGATGGTCTCATTCATGGCAGGAATTTAGAAAACCTAAAAAAAGGAACAAGGAAAATACTAATTATAATAAAGTAAAAATCACAATCAACAGCAACTACAATCCAGAGACACACTACTGTGTGGGGGAGGAGGAAGTAGGATCAAACAAGGGGGTTGGGAATTGTACGGGAACTATAACCAAGGAGAAAATGCATACATTGAAAAAATGAAAAATGATGTAAAAATACATAAAATTAAAAACAAAAAAGAAGGGCAGCTCACCCAGCAGGGCTAGACAGGGAGGGGAGGTGGGTGGGGGCAGGGCTGAGGCCAGCGGGGCAGTGAAGCCTGTGCAAAGGGGTTTGGGGAAGTGTCACGCCTAGCAGGGCCACGGGAAGGCGTGAGGCCAGCGAGCTGATGATCTGATTGATGCTCTCGCTCGTCCCTGGGTGCGGGGAAGGTTGAATGAAGGGGAGGAACCAGTGCAGGCGCTGCAGCCCTGGCCCGTGACGCGCAGCATCCCAGGCTGGTGGGGGCATCGTGGGTTCTCAGAGGCGAGAGGGATGCGGAACCTCCGTGGGGTTGCAGCCCCTGAGGCTGAGGCGGCCGTGGACACAGGCGGCTGCAGAGCGTGGACTCCCCCGAGGCGGCCGTGGAGGTTGGGGAGAAATACGGGAACGGGCCCGCGAGTCCGCCCCCGACAAGGAAGAGGCTGTGACCTCTCTGCGAGGTAGCCAGGAGCAGCCGTGGTCGCAGGAGGAGCAGCACGGACTCTCCCGGCCACTGCTGGGTCAGGTCCCCGGGGGCGGGCCCACGGGAACCTGCCCTGGGCGTCCTGTCCCCGAGAGGATGACACCCTCCGCCCTCAGGGCCTGGGACACGCAGCGCTGGGGCCACCGTGCCCGACCCCCTGAGCCCAGGCTCTGAACCTCGGGGCTCTGGCCGTGCCCCAGGCTGCTCAGGGGAGACCTGGTCCTCAGCGGATGCTGTGCGTGAGTGATCAGGGTTGGCCTGGAGCGGGGAACCTGCAGCCTGAGCAGCAGCGGACCCCACTGCTCATGTGAACCCACCACTTCCAGAAGCCAGGCCTTACCCTGCGGGGCGCAGGGCCACAGCGTGTGGACCTGGCCTTTGCCAACCTCTGCTCCCCAACCCCGATTTCGAGCAAGAAGCAGAATTTTTTTTAAATATTCTTTTTTTTAAAAATATATTTATACAAGAACTGGGGTACAGGCCAGAGGGGTGAGAGGGTGAGAGGATTCACCAGAGACAGAGCGGGGTGCAGAACACGGAAACTGACAAAATACACTGCTGAGGGGCACAGCGGGCGAGACAGGAGAGGTCTGCTCGCCTCCCTGGTGGGCCGGGAATCGAGCCAGCGCTGCAGAGGTGCGGACAGCTCCACAGTGCTGCGCTCAACCCGCTGCACCAACGCGAGCTCCAGACACAGATATTTTCAAGCCAGAAATCTCCGGGGGAGCTGACCAGCCCCAGCTGCCCCCAGCCCCAGCTGAGTCAGGTCAGGGGGTATCCCCACAGCGCTGCGGGGTGGTGGGGGTGTGGACACCACCTCCAGGGCCCGCTTTACAGCCTCTGCCGCCCTGGGAGCCGCCCCGGCCTCCGGCCTGCGAGGACTCCAGGGGCACACGCAGCTCGTGGGCCAAACGGGGGAACCATGTCCCAGAGAGTTTTCAGTGTTGGGGTGTGAAGAGCGGACTCTGTCGCGTCTCATGCTCCCAACATGATGTCGTTTATTGTGCCCGTGGATGTGTCGTGTCATGTGAGACGCATCAGGGTTTGCGGGGGACTGTGCAGAGACCCTAAAAGCTGAAACCTGGGACAGGTCGCTCGCGACAGAGGAAACCGCCTCGCCAGCGCCCCGCGGGCTTCTGGAACTGGGTGGATTCCGGTCTCCAGGGAGTCTGTCCACACACCTCTTGGCGGGTGCTGTCCCGTGAAGGCTGAATGGCCCCCAGGGTGCCCTCTGCCGGGGGCGTGGCCTCTGCTCTGACGCCACAACGAGCTCTGTGACGTCACCCGCGGAGCCTACTTAAGCCCCCGCGCGGCCCACAGCGGTGTAGGTAGAGCGAGGAGTGTTGGGATTGAGACGGTGGTCTCGGAGGGAGAGAGAGGCGCGTTGGTGGGTTGGATTGCTTTTGCTTTGTTTATTTCTTATTCCGTTACTTATTTTAGCTATTTATTTTAGTTATTTTATTTATTTTTAATTATTTCTTTTTTATTTCCTTTATTGTTTTATTATTTGCTTATTTTTTCTTTTTTATTACTTTAATTTTTGTTTTTATTTTTTTTTATTTCCCCCATTTTCCCTCGTGTTATTTTTGTGTGTATTGTTTTTCCCCTTTGTTGTTTGTCTTTTTTTTTAATTTAGTTGTTAGTTTGTAATTGTTTGTTGGGTTGTGGTTTGTTTCTTTTGTCTGTGTTCTTGTTAACTTTAGTGGTTAGTTTGTTATTGTTTTTTTTATTATTTTTAAATATTTATCTTTGTTAATTTTTTGGTTGTGTATTTTCATTTCTGGGTGCAGAGTTAGTATTAGTATCCTAGTTAGGTTAGCATAGCTAGTATTTCTTGTAGAGTTAAGTTAGCGTCCTTAGTGTTTCAGTAGAGTAGTCAGCACAGGGAGCATTTAGTTAATTTCGGGAATCCTTTTCATGTACTACTAGCTCTAGGCTAATAGTGCACTTGTTAATCGGGTAGCGGAGCTAGTGCCGAGGGCTCTAGACAGCCAGGGCCTGCGAGTGTAGGAGCGGGTCCGCCCTCACTGCCCCGATGCACCTATCTGCCAAGGGAATGGCCCTGAGAAAGTATGTGATGCTCCGCAAGCTGCGGGAGGGCGCCCACGCCAAGGTCAAACTGGTGTAGCACCTGCCTACGGGCACAGAGGTGGCCATAAAGGTCATCCCCAAGTCTGGCACTCCTCAGAGATTCCTGGCCCACGAGGTGGCCTGCATGAAAGTCCTTCAGCACCCAAATGTTCTCCAGCTCTTCCAGGTGGTGAACAACAAGGGCGAGGTGCTGCTGGTCCTGGAGCGTGCAAAGGGGGGCAACCTGGAGGACTACCTGTTGAAGTGCGGGTGTCTGGGGGAGATGGAGTCTTGCCACTTCTTCCAGCAGATTCTCGCCACGCTCAGCCACGGCCATGCCCAGGGCGTGGCACACCGGGACCTGAAGCCAGAGAAGCTTCTCCTGGACCAGCATCAAAACATAAAACTGGCAGACTTTGGGCTCAGCGCCCAGTTCTCCGGGGCAGCGCTGCTCAACACCCCCTGTGGCAGCCCAGAGTTCATGGTGCCAGAGATCCTCCATCACCAGGAGTACAGTGGCCCCTCAGTGGATGTCTGGAGCCTGGGGGTGGTCCTCTATGAGATGGTGACCGGGGAGCTGCCCTTCAAGGGCACCAGCCTCGGGGAGCTACGGGGCAGGGTGCTGAGTGGTGTCTACCATGAACCGCACTGCCTCTCCCAGCAGTGCCAGGACCTGCTAAGGATGATGATGACGCTTGACCCCCAGAGCCGCAGCAACCTGGACAGCATCATCCAGCTCACCTGGGTGGGGCTGACGAACTGACTCCCGCCCTGCCGTGAGCCGTCCCCGGTCCAGCACAAGGCCGCGACGGAAGCCATGGCCCGCCTGGGGTTCCGGAAAGAGGTCATCGACAGGGCGCTTTTGGAGGGCAGGCATGACCCTGTGATGGGGACCTACCTCATGCTGCTCTCCAGGCAGTGGGCTGACGAGGAGGAGCCTGACACCGCCATCTCCCCCAACCTCCTCAGTCCAGATGGGGCCCACTGCACCCCAATATTGGAGGACCACCGGCAGCCTGAGGTATCGGGGCATGAGACCTTGAAGGTGGAACTGTCCCCGAAGCAGGATGCCCAGAAGCCTACCACCACCTCTGGGCCAGGCATCCCGCAGGAGCACTCTGGTGTGCAGAGCTGTCTCCAGCTCAGGTTCCCTGCTGCTGGATGCCTGGAAGCCCAGCATGGCCTCCAGGTCAGGGCCCGTGCTGCCAGGCCCACTGTAGAAGGAAGCCCTGCGGCCCAGCACCACCTTGCTAGGCCCCCAGCTGGAGGGGGGCCAGGAAAGCATTAGGAAGACCACCAGCCCAGTCCCCCAGCTCTCTAGCACCACCCGAATAACACCAAGAAAGTGCCTCCTGTTCAGCCCAGCCCCTGCAGAGACAGTGGGCCATGAACACCATTCCCATTCTACCCTTCATTCCAGCGGAGTCTACAAGGCCAGAGCTCTAGGACTCCTTAATAGGATTTAAAAATGTTGCCTTTTCTGTGCACCCTTTGGAGGAAAACACAAGAGAAGATTTCTCCCTGCTGGTGATTAGATGATCAACAGCACCTCCCTAGAATTCACTTCCCTGCTCCAAGGCTGCCACTCAGTGGCCATAGTGAAAGGAGCACACCAGCGGAGGCAGAGGCCCTGGAGAGTGGTCAGGGGCTGTGCCCAGCCAGAGGGGCCAGGAGCAGCATGAGAACATAGGGGTGGAGCTCTGATGTCCGCAAGCACAGCAGTCCCAGGAGCAAAGCAGGTGAAGGGCCGAGAGGGCAACAGAACTGGTGAAGCACCTGGAGGAGAGCAGAGCGGGGGAAGGGGAATAGAGGAGGGCTTGTGGCAGCTGAGCAGATGTAGGGCCCGGGATGGGAGTAGAGCTGTGTGGGCTGAGCCTCAGAGACCCCAGGGCCAGAGGCTGGGACCCCATAGCCTTGCTTCCCCATCTTAGGATCTATCCCATGAGGGCCCTGCTGGTGGCCCCTGGGCACCTGGTAGGAGCAGGCGATGCAGGAGCACTTCAGGCTGACTGGCGCTGTCAGGGACTGACATCCACGGTAGGAAGTCCCCCTCTACTGAGCCCCTTTTCACAACGGACATTCTAAGTTGGAAAATTGCTCACCCGCCAGCAAGTGGTGCCTCGGTAGGGCCTCCTGGTTTCCATCTGCACTTTATTGCTTCTGAGTCCATGCAGCACTCCCCGGGGGGTGTCACTAAGGAAAGAGCCTCCTCCGTGCTTGGGCTTCACTGGCTCTGCTCTTCCCATGCAGGTCCAATAGGGTGCGAGGAGCGGCCGCTGTGGCTACACTGGTTCCCACTGCAGGGGCACCTCCAGGTGACCCGCTCTGCCTGCTGGGCCCTGGTGTGTGGAGGCATCTGGATGCACTTTCTCCGCCTGGAGGAGACAGTCTGAAATTGATTATTTAGTTAAAATGTCTATCCCAGGACACATTAAAATTGTAGATGAAACCGACCACGTTTGCTTCCCATTTATGACTGCACCCACACTTCCAACTCATCGGACACCAGAGACCTAAATTTCCTTTAACATTCTTGTATCAGCAGTGAAAAATTTAGAAAATATTGGAAAGCATTTAGAAAATTTTAGAAAAGTCAGAGGGGTCACGTGGTGATAAGACAGTGAGACAGGAGTGTGAAGCAGAGCTAGCTCTGAGTATGGAATTAGGTATTTGCACTATTTTCTTTAGGTGTATGTGCATATCTTGCATTGTGTGCAAGTGTGTGCATGTGAGTCTACATGAGTGTGACTTGTGTGTGCTTCTATAGGTATGAAGTATTTATGTACCTTCTACCATCAGAAAAACTCCCAGCTACAGAGAATTGGTATGATGTCTTCAAAAATGTGGCCTCCCAAAATGTTGGCCTCCCTCTCAACCCAGAGGGTTGAGCCCAGCGCTGAGGGAAGGGCTGAGTCTCCAAATTCCCCAATGTGGCTTGTGTCCCCGAGTCCACATCTGTAGGGTATTTAATTCTCCTCCAGTATAACTGTAGATGCAGATCAGTTAAATTTTCCCGGTTTATTGCCATTGGTCCCTGCTCCTGGTGTGTGCCCTGGTCACCCATTTCTCTTTCAGTGGCATCAATGTTGTCCTGCACAGTGTTGTGAGTGTGGTGGTGGTGACCCCAGTGTCTTCACTCTGTCTCCATATTGCCTCTCAGGCGTAACCCAATTCATTTTTGAGATCATAATTACTTTGTAAACCAAAACAACTAAATACAATAAAAAGACAATAAAACTGAAAAACTAGGGAATTTAAAAAAATCACATCCAGTGACTTGTATTGAAATTATTGAAAAATTATATACATCATGGCTAAGTGTGGTTCATTCCTGTAATACAAGACCAGTTCAACACTTACATATCAAGTAATATAACATATTACTATATCAACAGACATAAAAACACTCAATATATTTCAACACACATTCGAAATTTAAAAAAATAAATAAATAAAAAATCCAGGATTTAAAGGGCTTTTCCTTAAACTAATAAAATGTATAAAAGAAAACATGTAACTAACATTACACTTAAAGATGAGCCACCAAATAGATTTCCTCTTCAGATGGAGAAAAAGGCCATTTTGTCCTCTGCCACTACACCAATTCAGAACTGTGGGGCTGTCCTAACTATTATGCTAAGTAAAGTAAAGAAAAGCTATAAAGGGAATACATATTGATATGAAACAATCTATTTTGTATTCCAGGTAGAAAACCACTAGAAAGCTTAAAAAAATCTCAGAAATAATTAGCAGCTATAGGAAGGTTGTAGTGTATGTGGTCAATATACAAAATTTTACTAGTTTCCCCATAGCAACACAAACAACTGAGATTTAAAATTAAAGAAACATTATCTTTTATAAAAATACTACCCCAAATGAAATACCTAAGCAGGGCCTCCCCTGGTGGCGCAGTGGTTGAGTGCTGTGCTGTGAAGCTGCCCGCAGCATCTGTAGCACTGGTTCGAACCCTGGCCACCAACAAGATTCCCACATAGCACACAGACCGTTCCCGCTGACCGCTGCTCCCCTCAGCAGTTTACTTCGTCAGTCTGACTGTTCTGTTCCCGGCTCTGTTTCTGGTGAATTCTCACACCCTCCCATGATTCTGACTGTACCCAGTGCTTGTATAAATAAATAAACAAACAAACAAATAAATAAATAAATAAATATTTAGAAACAAATAAATAAAAACTGAAAAAAAAGAAAGAAAAAATAAATACCTAAGCATAAATCTAACAAACTTTGCAGGAGACCTATACACAGAAAGCCAACAAAACTAATAAAATGGACCTAGATACAGACCTAAACCTTATTAAAAATGAACAAACACAAATTGCATCATAAACATGAAAGTAAAATGTAATACTATAAAACTTCTCGAATAAGACATAATAATACAAATAGATGTGACTTTGGATTTGCTAATAATGTTTTAGATAAAACACTAGAAGCATCACCTATGAAATAATAAACAGGCCTTTGCACTTTATTAAAAGTTTATTAAAATGAGGTTAAGACAAGTAACTTATTGGGAAAATACTATGAAGATAGCTGCATTTAACAACATGCATTTGTCAAAACCCATAGAACTCACAGCACTAAGAATAACCCTTGGTCTACCTAAATTTTAAAGAATCATTTTGCAAATTCAGGTATCTCAGAATGTGACACAGATGATGACAATAGAATGTAACTGTATTACACTGTATGACACATGCTTAAAGAAAGAGATTTTTTAAAAGGTGCTGTAGACTCAAAAAGAAGGAAATAATTCTATGGTTTGTTCTGCTATAAATGTGCTTTCCATACTGGCAAGGTTGCCTGGGCAATAAAGTCAGCAAGACAATAACTTTGTTTGCTTTGAAGAGTTCCTCTGGTGAGAAGCAAAGAAAATGTCCAGAAAGTCCACAGTCCTATCGTGTTTATAAGTTGCTAGACGAAGGAACATGAGCTAATGACCTGAGGGACGGGCATGTCTATGAGGGCACTTGTCAAAATAAGAGATTCCAGTAATATTTGGTCCTTGCATCTTCCCCCACACAGGTAACTCTGACTGACTCGACTTTGTAAAATCAAATATGGAATTGCTATTGTTTTTTAAATTGGGGGTTGGAGTCATATACCTGTCAGAACATTCCTACAGGTCCAACAATCTGCGCAATATGATCCATCCCTGGAAGGCATTGAGTTGATTGGTTAAACTGTTAACCCAGCCTACTAGTTGTACAAGGACTCTGCTGTCCCCTGCCCTCAAGGTGCTGGTGTCCTAGGTAAGAAGACACATCATCAAGGATTGACTCTAAACTTTGTCTTTGACAAACTTTGTTTGGTTTCATGATATTCCACAGAAAAGTAACATCATCCAGTATTTATCTTTGCCTTTCTGGCTTATTTTGCTTGGCATAATAGCTTCCGGTTCCATTAATGTTGCCATAAATGGTGTGAACTCATCTTTCTTGATTGCAGAGTAGTATTCCATTGTGTGTATATGCATATATACCACATTATCTCTTCCATATGGCCACTGAGAATTCTTTCATTTGATTCCTCTATTCCTTTAAAAAAAAACTCCACTTGGGAGAGGAAGTCCACTCATCTCTACTAAGCAAACAAGTATAGGTTTTTGCACCTGAGGTGGGAAATTCTATACTCCAAAAACACTAACAAAAATGTAAACCAATGGTGCTTCTATAATAAAAATGAAAAAGATGACACATCATCAACATCACTAAGCTGGCTGTGTGTTGGACAGCTTGACAATTAACACTATGGAGAAGAAATAAGCAAGGAAGAAGAAAGGATGTATTGTCTTAAATCAAGACTTCAGGGAAAGCCTCTCTGAAAGCAAGGAAAGACAAGCAGGCGGACCAGCAGGGGCAAGCCTTGGGTGGTAGTATACTTGCAGTCTTTGAAGGGCAAAAGTATGGCCTGAAGAGCAATGTTGTCTCAAATCTACATGCCCTGGTGTGGCTCTTTTGGGATGTGCAAGGTGCCCTACGTGCTTAAAATGCATTCAGCTTTAAATGAGGACTGCACCAGAGATGGTGATTATATAACACTACCCAGTCCAGCAGCCATTAAGTCAGGGCTAATTAGCACACTTCCTTTTCCAGCTGTGCCCTCAAAATTCCATTAACATCAAGTGCTGGCACCCACTGTCACCTACAGATTCAAGGTAATAGATCTCATCTCTTCTACAATATGATGTGTTTCCTGAAGGAATTGAATCATTTCCCAGGATTGCCTTGGGCAAAGTGGGACACAGAAATGGGGTCTGAATTAGAATGGGGGTGAGGAATGGGAAGCTGGGCTGCAGGTGAAACATCCAGAAGAAGGCTTTGATAGGCAACTTTATACTTCCAAGGAGAGCCTGTGCCAGGTGGACTCAGGACACCAACACTCAGAAGATAATGAATGTCCCTCCACCAAAACATCTGTGCTCTCTAGGTCTAGACCCACCCATTGAGACTCTCACCTTTTTGTGTCTGCATTATGTTCTGTTACTGACACCACATGGTCACCCTGCTTACAGTTTTATTATACTAAGAAATCACAGCCTTCCATTGCATAACACTGATTTTATTGAAGAACAAATCTGCCCTGTTTGTTTACATTCTGGACACTGATAAAATTGAATAATGATTTCAGGTGGTATCTTGAGTGTCAAATTTATAATTTATCCCCGCTTGATATGCTCCAAAAATGAAAGAAGTGGAAGACTGTGGACAGTATGAAATGACAGCTTAATTGTTAGGAAAGTAAAACCCAGAGCCAGAGAGTTAAAGGTTTTCCTACTGATGTTAAAATTGTTTTCAGAGAGGACAGACATGCAGCATTTGATGCCGAGGAAGACAAGTTTGCTTTGGTGCATAGGGCAGAGAAATAGCCTTTATATGTACATTTAGAACAATTTAAAAAGTGCCAGTTATTTCTGTAAAGGGCTAATACAAGTAGTATAGGCTTGAGTGGGGTAGTGCAAATCCAGGAATCAAGGGTCCCTGTAAATTCATCTATCACTCACTCCTGATGCTTTTATATGAGGTTCACCAAAGAGAGCACTTTGGATTTCAAACTATCTCTGCCTTGTACACTGGGGTCTGTTTTTCTCTCTTGCACGATACAGGTGTTAGATTGATACTGATCAGTATAGATGGGATGAGTGAATGGGACATAATGCACTTAACAAAGATGTATGATTCTTTCTGCAAGCCCAGCACAGCAGGTGCTCAGTACAGGAGATAAAACCTGGAAGACATGGCCTTGCCTTGTACATATTAGAGTCCAGGGAGGGTAAAGAGAAATCTGCCCCTTAGATGCATACAGCAAGCATAAATATCACCAAGAGGACAGAAATTGTCTACCAGGACAGGTTCTGACCTCAAGTCAGTATTGTTTGTGGTCTTAGAGGTTTTGTTTTTTTAAAAAAAAATATTTATTTATTTATGCATACAAGAGCTGGGGTACAGGCCAGCGATGTAGGGATTCTGGACGGTGAGTGGATCCACAAAAGACAGAGTGAGAAACAGAACAGGTGGATTGACTGAAATACACCACTGAGGGAAGCAGTTCTGTGTGAGACAGGAGAGGTCTGTTGCACCATGTGGGTATCTCCCTGGCGGGGATTGAACCTGGGCTGCAGTGGCTGCAGACAGCTTCATAGGTTGCATCTAACCCCTTGTGCTACCAGGGAGGTCCCCTTACAGGGTTTTTAAAATTGAATTTAAATGCCCAAAGAAGCAATCTCTTCATTTATTTTATTTTTTTTAAGATTTTTTTTTTCATTTATACAAGAGCTGGGGTACAGGGCAGATGCACAGGAGGCTGAGAGGATTCACCAGAGACAGAGCGGGGAACAGAACAGGCAGACTGACAAAATTCAATGCTGAGGGGAGAATCAGGGAGACAGGTGAGGTCAGCTGAGACATGAGGGACCCTTGCCAGCAAGCCAGGAGTGAACCCGCACAGCAGAGGTTGAAAACAGTTTCACAGTGCAGGACTCAACTGACTGTGCCACCAGGGAGGTCCTCCTCAAAATTAATTAATTTATTTTCTAAAATATTTATTTATTTATTTATTTATTTATTCATTCATTCATTCATTCATTCATTCATTCAAGCACTGGGCACAGTCAGAAGTGCGGGGAGGGTGAGAGAATTCACCAGAGCCAGAGTGGGGAGCAGAACAGGCAGTAGGACTAAAGTACACTGCTGAGGGGAGCAGCGGACTGCAGGAGAAGTTTGTGTGCCATGTGGGAACCTCCTCCGGTGGCCAGGGAGCAGCTGGGGATTGAACAGGCAGGCTGCGGACAGCTTCGAAAAATAGCACTCAACCAATGAGCCACCAGGGAGGCCCTCTTCCTTTAATTTAAATATCAACTAGTACACTTATATTCATAGACCAAAAATTCCCCTTCTTAAAGTGTACAATTCAGTGGGTTTTAGAAACTCATAGTTGTAGAACTGTTACCACAACTTAATGTTAGGACATAGTCATGAACTTTTGAAGTCATGAAACTTAACCCATTAGCAAATCCTCCCTGTGTTCCTCCCTCTCTAGTACAGGAAAATTGCCCATCTGTTTTCCATATGTGTGGATTTATTTGTCTACTACAGACAATTCATGTAAATGCAGTCACACAATAGGTATTATTTGTGACTGGCTGCTTTTACTTATTCTATGTTCAAGGTTCATGCATGCTGTACAATGTATGGACCAGTACTTAATTCCTTTTCCTTGCTAGATAATATTCCATGGCATAAGTTAGCATGTATTTGTTCTGCATCCCACTTGCAGCACAGATCTTCCAAAACCCTGACAATTTCCTAAGTGATCAGTATGACCTTAAGGCATAAAATGTGTAAGAGAATAGAGGCAATGTGCTCACAGATCTCAACCCTTGATCACTTCGATTTTAATCTACCCTTCAAGTTTTCTAGAAGGTACACAGCTCTCTCTTAGGATGAACACATCATCAGTGCACTCACATCCCCGATCCTTGGCAGGGGGAAAGGAACCAGTAACATGACGATTACAGTAAATCATTCCATTGTGGTCATACAAGAACTTTTCATAAGGATGAAAATGCGGCCTTCCTGCTAGTCAGGCAGGCATGGGCAGAGTTGCTTCATGTAGAGAGAGAGTCAAGCTCACCTCAAGTATTTAAGTGAAGGGGTTTGTGTTTCTGGCCTGAACCTAGACTCCTGCTCATCTGTTAATACCAATAAACACATTTTGCCATTTGTTTTAGTTTAATTTCTAAAATTTTAAGTTTATTCTGTTTCACCCAGAAGCTTCATATTGATTTGATTTGGTTTTAAAAAAAAAGTGAAATAAGACACTCTTTCAAAGCAAGAGTTGTGAAAGTTGTGCACGTACATGCCAGTAGAAAGGAAAAAGGAAAAAAGGCAAAATGGTGAGTGGAGCTACTACATTTCATAACACAAAATTTGAAATGACGGGAAGATCCTTGCTCTGATTTGTTCATTGCCTTTACCAAAACACAAACCAGATAAATAGGACAGAATAGAATGAAATTCCTGTTTTCCCAATGAACTCACCCCACGTTGAAAGCCATTCCGGTGTCCTGTCAGAAAGCACCCTGTCATTTTCTGTCTCCCCCTAGAGCTCAGTTCCTGAGGGCAGCGGAGGGTCCACAGTCAACAACAACGACAGTGGCAGCAGAACAGAGAGATCCACTATGCTGAAGTGTAGCCGTGGGTTGACTTCCAGGCAGGCTTGCCACCCTACAAGGCCAGAACACTATCAATAATTTGGGTTCTAAGACACCAATAAGGAAATGAGGAAGGGAAAAAAAAAAAAAAAAACTCTGCAAATGAGCAGAGCCATGTCAAGGGACCATAAGCACACCAACAATATCTAAAGTCCCTTTTTAAAAAGGAATTGTATCTTTACCTGAAAATATTTAACTCTAAACAAACTGAAGTCAGCTGACATCAAAAGAACATCACAAAGACACTGGCAATGCCTCAGGGAATGTCTGTCCATGCCCTGTATTGTATTTGACATGGAGATTTTCAACAATGGCAATGAATGTTCTAGTCTAAAGCTCAAACCATCTGCGCAAAATTGAAGTGAAGTGGAACTGCGTACAGATGCCATAAAATGGACATCCTCACCCACATCTCCACCCAAGGACAATTGAGCCTTCCTCATGGATCTTAGAGTGTTGAGACCATCACCATCTGTGGAGGAAACGTGGGCTACTTGTCTCCACTTCACTTGGAACGTCCACACCGCCTTGATGCAGCAGGACTCTGTGCAGGTGTCGCCACTGTGAGTGAGTGTCGTCATTCCCTTTCAGGGCTCCCCCAAGACTTGGAGGGAAGTCGCTGTCTGGGCTGTGGATCTGGAGCGGGGGAGGGGATGAACCTGGTCCTGCAGAACCCAGTGAGACAGCACCCACTGAGCTTTCATCTGGGCAGAAGGTGAGCCCAGGGGGAGGGTGAGGAGCATCTCCCTGTGGGTAGCTGAAGGCAGAGCGGGGGTGGAGGACGGGGGACGGTCGCGAGGACGCAGGGGAGGGAGGGCTGGATGTGGAAAACCACCAGGCTCTGGCAGGTTGCATTTTGGGCACAGAGGTCCGGATTCATTCCTGAGCACCCCACTGGGTCAGAACCCATACTGTGAGGGGATCCCCAGGAGACCCATGGGCATGGGATGGTCTGATCACTGCTGTGCTATGAGTGCTCGGAGCAGAGGATACAATGGAAGAAGGTAAAAATGCAACGTGGTCCACCCAGTAGCCTCAACCTGCAGCTGTGTCCACCACACCCCGGGTCCCACTGGAGCTGGTCACTGCCTTGGATGGAAGCTGCACAGACTTTGTGAGCACCTTTGTCCTCCCTGTGGCTGGAAGCCCCGCCCTGGGGATGCGACAACTGCACCCTCCCCTCTGTCCATGAGGGATTAGTGCCCGCCTGGCAGGGTCATTCCTGGCATCGAGGACCCTGACAGTTGAGAGAGAGCTGGGAAGGGCTGCACCAACACTTTCCCCCCCGGGCTGCACTTCCACCTGCATTGAGTAAGGACAGAGAGGAACTGACTGGCAAGAGCGCCAAGAAGACAATCTCTGGCAAAATAGAAGGTTCTAGTCTCAGGTAGGCCCGGGGTGGGGGATATAGGTTTTTCCTCCTTTACCTGAGCCTCAGTTTTCAGTATCCCCTCGACTCAAGAGGTACACACGACCCCTTCACCTGTTGTTGCCAAGCACCCACTGTCAGCTAGATGCCAAGGACACGAGCTGAGCTTAGCCTACAGCTCAGACCACCCTCAGGAGGAATCAGGGCACAGGGAACTTCAACAGATGCTGCAAGAGTTGTGACAAGGAGCTTGAGATGACAGAGTTTTCCCTAGAAGGGGCACCTGACACAGGAGGTTGTCAGAGTGGGGCTGCAGGCCTTAGACAGCAGGAGCGATGGCAAGACTCTCGCAAGCTTGTCTGGCAGCTTGGACTTTAACCTGAGTGTGGACAGGGGAGCCACTGAAGAGCTTTTTGAGGCTGTAAATAAATGACATGACACAACAGGTTGTCTTTTGTGAGGGAGCGAGGACCGAGGGAAGGATTGTAGACAGCCCTCGGGAAACATCTGGTTCCTCTCTTTTCTCTCCCCAGGAGGCAAAGAAAGGATGAAGTGAACCAGCCTGCCCAGTTCAGCAGCAACATGCCCTTGCTTGCCAGGTACAAATTCAGACCCCAGGCCCAGCTTCATAAAGGACAGTCCACGGATGAGTGGGTCTGGCCCTGCCTTGTCCAGTGGCTGGTGACCAGCCCGCAATCAAGGATCGTGGATTTCACAGACACAGGTGACCAGAGATGTGGATCTAACTTCATTATCAATTTCCTGTTTTCCAGTTGCATGTTTTGAATTTCCTGAATTAATTCCTCTCTTTGATTCCTTTATAAAGCACACTGGCACTATCCTGCAATTATGTCACTTGAGTGCAACATTTTCTCTGGTGGCACATAAAGCAGACGAGAAAAGAACGAACTTACTTACAGTTCCATCAGCAGAAAAGTGGAAGAATATCCTAATATTATATGATCAGAAACTTGTCATCTATTATATAAAATGCCTTTGCCATTCAATCTGAAACATTCTTTCTTCATCTCTAGAGAACAGACCTACTTTGTCTGCTTTAGAATTTATTTTTTTTACATAAAACTTATTTTATTATATGAGTACGCATATGTTCATACATACACTTTATTTTGAATAAGCATTATTCTGGTATATATCTTCTTTTTTTCACATTCATGTAATGTTTTATTTTTTAAAGATTATTTATTTATTTATTTTTTTAAATAATAAATTTTATTTTTATATTCCCCATACAATCACAACCCCCACATTCTGACCCCATTCCCTCCCCTCCCGCCTCCCCACCCCCAAAAAAGTGTCTCTGGTTCATAGTTTTTTGTTGATTTTGATTTTCACTTTCTTATAGTTATTCATTTTCCTGGTCCCTTATTTAAGTTTTCTAGATTCCTGCTATGAGTGAGACCATCCGGTATTTTTCTTTTTCTTTCTGGCTGATTTCACTGAGCATGTTTTAGAATTTATAGAAAATAACAACTTTTTAGAAATTATAGAAAATAACATCTACTTTTTTATTAACACTCTGTTTTGTGAATATTCCACAATTGGGAAAACATAACAAACCTAGGTGGGACTTCCCATTTGTATGCAATTTAGAGATTCAATGCAATTCCAATACAAATTACAGTGGTCTTCTTCAATGAAATGGAACCAAAATTGTTCAAATTAACATGGGATCACAAAAACCTCTAGTAGCAATAGTTCTGACTAAAAGGGGTATAGAAAGGAGGTATTACACTCCCAGACATAAAACAATATTACAAAGCTATTGAAATGAAAAATTTTTTGGAACAGAAAAAGACATAGAGAACAATGAGGAACTAACCTATGACACAGGAGCAAAGAATATACATTGGAAAAACATTGCCACTTCCATAAATGGTGCTGGGGAAACTAGATTGCAACATGAAAAAGAATGGAACTAGACCACTACCTCACACTATACACAAACCAACTCAAGTGGATGAAAGACTTACATGTAAAACCTGGCACCATGGAATACACAGAAGGGAACACAGTCCAACACTCCATGACACAATCCTCAGGAACGTCTTTGAGGATTCTTCTCCAGAATCAAAGAAAACAAAGGAGAATGTAAACAGTTGGGGCTCCATAAACATAAAAATCTTCAGAACAGCAAGAGACAATGATCAAAACAAAGAGACACCCCGCTGAATGGGAGAAAATATTTACAAACCATATGGCAGATGAGGGACTGATATCAAAGATCGACAATGAGCTTACACAACTCAAAAAAAAAAAATCCAGTACAAAAAATGAGCAGAAGTAAAAGGACTCTTCTACAAAGAAGAAATGCAAATGGCCAACAGGCACAGAAAAAAGGTTTAGCATCACTAGTATCAAGGAAATGCAAATCAAAACCACAGAGATGCCACCTCACTCCAATAAGAATGCTCCACATTAAAAAAAAAAAAAACACCACCAACAACAACAACCTGGAAACAACAAATGCTGGAGGAGCAGTGGAGAAAAGGGAGCCTTCTACCCTGCTGGTGGGAAGGCAAACTGGTATAGCCACTATGGATGGCTGTGTGGAGGTTCCTCAGAACACTGAAAATGTGTCTACACATGATCCAGTGAGTCCACTCCCAGGAATCTACCAAAGGGACAAAAAAAAAAAAACACAGGAAACATGAACTCCTTTGTTTACTGCAGCACTATTTTCAATAGCCATCACATAGAAACAACTCAAATGGCACAAGACAGATGAATGGGTCAAAATGGTGTGGTGTAGATACACAAGACAATATTACTCAACAATGAAGAGACAAATTCATGCCACTGTTGGTGATATGGATGGAGCTGGAAGGGATTATGCTGGCCACAATAAATCAGGAGAATAAATATCAGATGTGAAATACAGAGAAACTGAACAAAATGTAAAGAAAAAGACAACCCTAGCAGGCTGACCAAGAGCTGAGGCATCCAGCAGGGAGCGGGAGGGAGGGGGCTCAACAGAGGGGAGGGAAGAGCATAAGGGATTGAGGTGATGGTCACAGCTGCTATGGTTGTGGGAGCAATATGGAGACCACCCCTGGTGGAGAAATCAGTAACTAGACAAAAATGAACAAGGATGTAAGGAAGGAAGGCAAAAGGTGATGGTCTTTAAGGACAGGGGAGACCCTATAACAACATAAATAAATGCTCTGAAAGGGGTGTGTCATCCTGAACAATACTGCAGGCACTGCAGAGGGATCCCCTCCTCACCAGATCTAGAATAGATCTCCAGGAACTTTCTCTGGTAGGTGCAGCAATTATGCCTGCTGTGTTAGAGAAACAGTTAGAGAAAAGGCTTTTTTTAAAAGATTGATTTATTTTATGCAAGAGCTGGGGTGCAGGCCAGAGGCACTGCAGGGTGAGGAGATTCACCAGAGACCGAGTGGGGTGCAGAACAGGCAGACGGACATAAATACACTGTTGTGGGGGAGTAGCAGCGAGATAGGAGAGGTCTGCCTTGCCATGTGGGAATCTCCCTGGCCGGCTGGAATTGAACCCACAATTCAGAGGCTGTGGACAAATTCACAGCATTGCGCTCAACCTGCTGTGCCATCAGGGAGGCCCGAAAGGGCTATTTTTTTAAGATTTATTTATTTATACAAGCACTGGGTACAGTCAGAAGTGCGGGAGGGTGAGAGAATTCACCAGAGCCAGAGCAGGGGACAGAACAGGCAGACTGATGAAGGACACTGCTGAGGGGAGCAGCGGGCATGGCAGGAGAGGTCTGCGAGCCCTGTGGGACCCTTGCCTGTGGCCAGGGATGGAACCGGTGCTGCAGAGGCTGCGGGCAGCTTCGCAGCCCAGTGCAAAACTGCTGCACCACCAGGAGGCCCACCGAAAGGGCTGTTTTTAATTGCAGTCTCTTATGACTAGCAATCATGATTGGAATGAGAGCCATTCTAAAACTTTTAAGTAATTCATGATCAATATTAATGACAGCATCCTCACATCTAAAATGATACTTGAAAGTTTTGTTCTGTCTCCTTTTAGCCCAAGCTCCTTCCTTATGGAGGAGGACGCCCAGCACCCACAGACCTTTTCTGAGGATGGACACAAATTGCTTCCCTCCCCCGGCCTCCAAGAGGGTTACAATTTGCCTTCATTTTAAAATCTCTGGTTCAGGACAAAATACAAAAATTCGGGAGTCCAAAAATATCTGGCCCTTGTGTTTATTTTTTGATCTCAGAGAAGTTACTGATCCCTTTTGGACCACAGGGTCCACAACTACAGTGTAGGAATAATATCTCTATAGCGTCATTAACAGAGATCGTGCAACGAAAGCACTGAACTTGTTACACAGGTTCAGATAATCTCCATCAGATGCTCAATAAAGGCTGATTCCTTTCTGCTTTCTAGAGAAATTCAACTTCTCTCCAAAGCAAGCGTAACAGAGGAAGTGGCAACACATTTAAAAGTAAAGTGCAGCGTCCCCCCCAGCCCCCGCCAGTGGGCTAGGGGTGAAATCCCAGTGCTGTCACCATGACGGCTAGAGTTCAATCCTCCGCTGGGAGTTGACCCACTAGGTGCAGCAGACCTCTCCTGTCACCCGCTGCTCCCCTCAGCAGTGTATCTCAGAAGATCCTCCTGTTGTGCTCCCTACTCTGCCTCTGGTGAATCATCTCAACCTCCCTCACATCTAGCCTGCACCCCAGTATTTCTATGAAATTTTTTTTAGAAGCGTTAAAATAGGGCCACCCCTAGTGGCACAGCAGTTGAGCACTAGGCTGTGAAGCTGCCCGCAGCCTCTGCAGAGCCAGTTTGATCCCCGGCCACTGGTGAGGGACCCACATGGTGCAAAAGAACTCTCCTGCCACGGCCGCTGCACCCCTCAGCAGTGTACTTCGTCAGTCTGCATGTTCTGTTTCCCGCTCTGGCTCTGGTGAATTATCTCACCCTCTCACGCTTCTGACTCTACCCCAGTGCCTGCATAAATAAATATATATATATCTTTAAAAAATCTTTAAAAAGGACACATAAAGGGGATTATCTCCAAAATATCCAGTTCTCATGAGTCACTGTGGTTTACTCAATCCCTGAAATAGGAGGGATCCTTTTATCACCATCTATAGAGAAAAGATCCCTAGAACTTAGAAAAGAACCCTTCAGTGTTGAAGATGCTCCCCATTGAGAAAGTTTCCTTCCCTGTTAGTGACAGCGCCCAGCAGACCCTGCTGAAAAGTTCTTGGGTGTGACCTTTAGTGACGCAGAGAGAGCCACTGCTTTCACTGCATGGAGTCGGTTAACAATAACCCATTTTAAAAAACCAAACACTGTAGCCAGTGTGTTGCAGGCTGTGTGGCTCCTGGTCACTCAAGAGTCAGAGAAGCCTGGATTCTCTTCAAGGGAGAGTGTAAAGTCTCCTCCTGAGGCAGTGTCCAGGGGTCCAAGGTCCCTCTGCCAGGCTCTGAATGATTGCACAACAGGGAAGTGGCGCTGCAGCCCTCACATGCAGGCCCAAGACCATCAGAGGCAGCATCTAAGACCCCTTGTGAGAAATGCAGAGCACCAGGTGCCAGCAAACCTCTTGGTCAGAACCTGTGCCCCCAGGAGACTGGGACACGACTCTGCCCTGCTGCATGATGGACCTGAGGTGGGGAGGCAGTGTCAGCCCCAGAGAAGTCTACAACATGTGAACTTATATGTAAAGTTATATGTAAAAGTTTACAACATGTAAACTTATAATTCCCCAATTTATATCTAAGTTCACAGAAATAAAACACATAAATCAGTGTAACACAGCGGGGAGCCCGGCAAACCCACCCCAGGGTTTTCCAGTGCAGCAGGGAGGCGCTGGGAGCAAACACGGGGGACGCACTTTCCGTCAGGGGTGCTGGCCACCCACAGGGTCACATTCAGGAACGACCTGACCCCCATGATCCTCCAGGACCCAAATGACCCACACAGAGCTCTCCACCCCCAGACAGCCCCACCCCGGTTCCCTTGACTGTCCCCCCTGCATCAGCCACCTGCAGCGACTTGTCCTCACCTCCCTCTTGCTCCGGGTGGTTCCTGAAGAAACTGGGCTCCCGCAGGCAAGAGCTTCACCCTGAGTCTGGAGCAGCGAGTGCCAAGGAGAACCCAGCAGCGGGAGAAACCCTGGTGCTCACGGGGCGCCCCCGCCCTCCTGCTGCGCTGAAGCTCAGAAAACCCAACTAAAAGGAGGCGAACACCCCGCATCTCCGACGACGCCGTTAACGTAGAATTTCCACGCGACTCCACAGCAAGTCGTGCCTCCGTGACTGAAAACACGCGAGGATTGTTCACCCTCCACCGCAAAGGCACGAACCCGCTGCCCCCCACAGGGAGGGGGGGGTGTCCCGCCCCCCATTATTCCCTGCCTCTCCCCGCCCCGCCCCCAGCTGGCGCGCTGCCCCCCGGGGCTGCTCCCTCCTTGGCCTGTGGGCTGCTCAACAATGCAGGCACTCCTGGCCCTGCTTCTCTGCCACTTCTGCTCTGTGTCAGCGCCCAGGGACCTGACCGCAACACGCAGTGGGCGGGGCGAGGCCGAGGATGGACAGGCTCGCGGGGGAACCAGGGGCATGGACACAGCGCGCCCTGCCTGGTGGCTGGGGGGGGCGGTGCCGCCCAGGCGGGATAATGGGGGGCTGAGGCTCCAGGCCTGGGACAGGGGGCCAAGGGGGAATGGAGCATGGGCTGAGGGGTGGGTCAGCCCCCGCAAAGGAGAGACATACCACGGAGAGTCATGGAGGGGGGAGGCCTGTGCAGAGGGGGTGCAGGAAGAGGGAGTGTGTGACATCACAGCCTTCAAGATGGGGAGACAGAATGACGTGGAGGCAAGAACCCGCTGAAATAGGGGTTCTCACTCATTCAGAAAAAAAATAAATGTATCGCCCTTCTCTGGGGAACTTTGACCTCAGCTATTAGAATTTGGAATATTATATATATGCATCTGCATTAAAAAATAGTAAAGTTTTTTGAGAAATGACCTCAGGAAATTCTGTGAACACAAATAAAAATGTATATCCGTAAAAATGCTAACCAGCACTTTCTTGTACTAACAAATATGGAAACAATCTTCATCAGAACTCCAGGAAAGAGTCAAATATGTGACAATAAATATAGCAATTAGGGACCCTCATTCTGAATAGTTATCAATGGAAAACACTTATATTATAACATTAAATGGAAGAGAATCAATATAAAATTGCAAATATAGTGTTATTCCAGCATGGATATAAAATTTTATGAAATAATATACTGTGCATGCAGAACAGAAGGGAGAAGTTACTTTGCATTCACTGGAATACTATACAACAATGAAAATACAGAGAATCTAGTCAAATCCAATATGTGGGTCACCTTGCCTGCATGTTGTTGAGTGAAAGAGTCAAGATATAAAATGAACATAGCATGACTGATTTAAATTTTAGATACCAGACAAAATTGAAATCATGTGTTAATCATGTGAAGCGACACACTTAGGTGATGAATTGTCGTGAGAGGCAGGGGTTATACTTGTAATGGCAGCCAAACATTTTTGCTTACTCGGAGAAGAAGATTATGATAGTGTGGCCTGATGTTTCTTCTCCCAGTTAATGGAGTCATTTGGTCATTCTGAAATTTAACGTTTATATAATAACCAGGACCCTTGCACACAGGTGTTTCAACAGTGAGTCTTCCCTTAACCCAGGAAGGCCAGCTCACATCTTCTAATTACTCTCGTTTCCTCAACTTTCCCAATGACTCTCAGCCATCAGTGACATCTTGTTTAATGTGCTATTTACCCAGATGCACACAACAGATACAGCACCAACAGCAAACCTAGAATATGTGTCCCCTTCTTCACTGACATCAACCACCTGCCCCGGTTCCATGGAAATCTTGTGATCACCCCATAGGAATAGGGGATATTACCACATGTGACACAAATCACCCACAAATAAGGATGACACAGAAACACTCAAAGTGACAGATGACCTGTTACTAACTTACTTGAATCAGGTTATGTTCAAGTGTGTGATGGCTATAGAACATTTCTGGTGATTTCTTTTTCCCTAAAAACACTCTAAAATATGATTTAACAAAAGAGAGAGCTAGCAGGATTTTGGAGTTTATTTTGTTATAAAAATTATATTTTATTTATCCTTTGTGCTAAGATATATTTTATAATATTTTTAAAAGATTTATTTTATTTATTTATGCTAAAAGAACTGGGATGTAAGCTAGCTTTACAGGGAGTGAGAGAAATTCACCAGAGACAGAGTGGGAAGCAGTACAGGCAGATCCACTGAAATACACTGCTGAGGGCAGCTGCCCTTCCCCCATGAGCCATGTGGGTCAGCTCCCTGGCCATGGTCAAACTCCTTCTGCAGTGGCTGTGGATAGCTTTATAGTGCTGAGACTTAACCCCGGTGTCACCAGGGCAGACCCTATAGTTTGTAATCTTCAGAAATTTGAAGATACATTAATGACTCTCTTTTCTTTTTCTGAAATTACAGAAAGGAATAAACAAGGATATATATGGGGGATAATTGTGTATACACACAGGGTTGATTGATTCCAATATCCACTTGCAGACACTGTCTCCTACCAATTGGCAAAGAGCTTACATTTTTATTTTTTTAATTCTTATTTATTTGTGCATGCAAGAACTGGGGTACAGGCCAGTGGTGGAGGACTGAGAGGATTCAGCAGAGAGAGCAGGGAGCATAATAGGTGACTGACAGAAATACACTGCTGAGGAGAGCAGTGGGGAAGAGGAGAGGTCTGCTCTGCTGTGTGGGTTACCTCCCTCGCCGGGGATCAAATTCCTGATATAGTAGCTATGGATTACATCATAGTGCTGACACTTAACCCCTTGCACCACCAGGGAGGCCTGACCCTACATTTTTAAAATTGAATTGGAAACCAAAAAGTAATTTTTTTCCAGATCTAGCCTGATGACTTTGTCACACCTCCCAGGGTGTCAGTCCTCAGCCCTGATCAGTGATAAGTGTGGAATTCCTGATGTTGCTGGGAGTCTCCACGTGTGCAAAGGAACTAGGGATGAGGGTCACTTGGTCTGCATTGGGACAAAGGGACAGCAGGGCCTGATCCGCAAAACAATGCGGACCTCAGCTGAGGTGTCTTCCAGTGGTTAAAATGGTGAGAGGTGCCTTATTTGTTTCTTCTGAAAGTGCCTTGGTGACAGTATTAAGTGAGTTGGGGACCTATACCTGCCAACCCATGTCTAAGAAGCAGCTCTTGTCACTGTTTCCCTGCAGGACCCCAGGAGCAGGTGACAGTGGGGGACAGACTGACACTTTCCTAACACAAAATCCAGGCAGTGTGCGCTCTTTGTCCACACTGGCTGGCTCAGGCGTGAGTTCCTTGTGACTCTCCTCTTCTGCAGTCTCACCCTCACATCCAGGGTAAGCTCAGCCACTTTGGCCGTGGGCAACCTAGGACAACCCTGACTCTCTGGACACTGGCAGGTGGCTGGGAGGGCTGGATTGTCCCAGGGAGAGCAGTGGGCCTGGACTGGGGCTCCTACTTACCTTACTTGGTCCTCACTTTGTGCAAATAGTTTTGTGATTCTGAACATTGTGTCTGTGTAAGGAATTCAAGCAAGTATCCGGAATCAGATCTTGGTTATTAGAAATTTGGTATTTTTCTTATTTTTATGTGTTTAGTCAGACAGCCAATTCAGTATCCACCTGTCACTGTGAAAATGGGATGGAAAGTAGGCTGAAGAGAGTGTTCTCCAATGGAAGGAGTCCTTTTCTTCCTCTGAGTTGGCTGGCCTCTTCTGATCACACTCGGGATCACACTTCTGGGATCAGGCTCAGTTGGTTTTGTCAAAATTACTTTGGAATTTCTCATCAGCTATAAAGGAGGCTTGCCAGTTGGTTGGAAAATTTCTAAACTTCTTATTGATCATTAACAATCACAGATTTCTTCAAAAAATCCAAGTGTTATTTAAAATAATCAATTTAGTCATCAAAAACTAAATAATAGGTTTCTGTAAATGATATTCCTTGTCAAATCTTTTTCTTAAAAGATTTATTTATTTATGCATACAAGAACTGGGGTACACACCAGAAGTGCGGGGTGGTGAGAGGATTCACCAGAGACAGAGCGGGGAACAGAACAGACAGATCTATTGAAATACATGGCTGAGGGGAGCAGCGGGTGAGTCAGGAGAAGTCTGCTGTGCCATGTGGGCAGCTCCCTGGACAGGGATCAAACTCATGCTGCAGGGGCTGTGGACAGCTTCTTAGGTTATGTCAAAGCCCCTTCCACCAACAGGGAGGCCCTCTTTGAAAAATTTCTGATAAAAGTCTAAGAATAGACAAACTGCAAAGCAGAAATATTAATCTATCTCTTTTTTTTAAAGATTTACTTATTTATGCATACAAGGACTAGGAGACAGACCAGAGGCGCAGAGGGTGTGAGGATTCACCAGAGACAGAGTGGGGAACAGTATAAGCAGACTGACTGAAATGCACTACCAAGGGGAGCAGCAGGTAAGTCAGGAGCAGTCCACTGCACCGTGTGGGTAACTCCTTGGCTGGCTGGGGAGCGAACCTGTGTTGCGGAGGCTGAAGACTGCTTCATAGTGTTGTACTTTACTCCTTGCACCATCAGGGAGGCCCAATCTATTTCTTTTCCTTCCATTTTCATGGCCCAGGTAGAAGGCGTCTTTTGTCTTTCCTAGGAGCAGGCCTCATCTGTGAGGTCAAATAGAAACCAGGACTTTATATAACAATTTGAGTTTTCACTGCTTGACTTAAAAAAAATTCTTCCAATTATGGGCTCTAGAGGTTTTAAAATTATTAAAATGGGACACTCACTGGAACACGTAACAACTTCAATTTCCACCTCAAATTAGAAACCCTCTTGATTACCAAAGGGGGTAAAAAAAAATCTTAAATGGCTATATCGACTTAACCTGAAAAAGTTAAGTTGTTTTAGGAATTAGTCTAGCTTTGTCTTGAAAAGTTATATAGTTCTGGTGAAACTGACCACCCATCCAAAATCTCTTCTAGGAATTTAAGGAAAAAGTGGCCTTAAAAAAACTCATAGGGAATATTCTGCCCCACTTTCTTTAGATCCTAAGGGCATTCTTACAAATAAAACTTGATAAATGTTTTCTTATCTGAAAGAATTAGTTAAAAATTATTATTTAATGGCCTCACCTGGTGGTGCTGTGCTTGAACTCTGGGCTGCGAGGCTGCCTGCATCTTCTGC